TTTGTTGCTGAAACTTCTCAGCTTCAGCAGGAAAAATCTTAAAGAAAAGATCTTTCACAAAAGATGTCTGCGACACCTCTCCACACATCACCCTGCAGAGAGAGCGCCTCTCCTTTCCACAGAGCACGGATGTGAGGCTCGCTCTTCTGAGAGAAAAGGGGACTCTTAAAAATTGATTTGCTCTTACTCAAATGGAAATGGTTCTTGGAAGCCCTGAGTGTGCCCCGAGACAGCTGCAGGCTGGGCTGGGCTGAGTCACTGCGAGTTCTTGGGCTGGGATGTGAGCCGGATGCGCCGGGACCAGCCCGGCTGTGGAGACCTCTGCCTTCCTGGGATGGAGAGGCAGCTCTCTAATCTGCCTTTACCAGGAAAAACCTGCAGCTCTCACTTCCCTGAACCCTGGAAAAAGTGCAGTGTGATAGGGTGGATGTGAGAGAGTGACAGAAGGAGGGGAAAGAAGATCAATCCCACCCAGAGGAGCAGCTGTGGTGGCAAAGCGCCGCTGAGCTGTGGGCACGTTTCCTGGGGAGCTTTTCCTCGTCATGAATCAAAGCTGCCCTGTGGGTACTGGGCAAATCCAGCAGAAAATAAGTGTTTTCCCCACACAGACCTGGTCCAGCCTTTGATAAGAGCCAGGGTGATGCTGGGCAGTGGGGTGGCAGTGTGCTGATGCTCCAGCCTTTAACTGGGGGGAATTTTTAAAGTTTTGCAGCAGGGAGTGTGATGGAACAAAGGAGAGAAATGTTCACAGGTGATTTCTCATGGACCAGCTGGATGTGGGATTGGTTCTGGGAGTGTGGATGGAGTCTGTGCTGTGGGCCAGAGGAACAGGGATGGGAGGGAGAGCAGGAGGCACATGCTGTGGGCCATAAGGAGGGATGGATGGGAGAGGCAGGGAAGAGGGTTGGCACTGAATATGTACCAAAAAGAGCAAAATTGTGCTGTGGAACAGCAGGAAATGAAGGGAATTGTACTGCAGCACTCTCCTGCTGCTTTCTGTGAGCTGCTGGAACAGCACCCTGCTCCAAAGGGAATAATCCAGGGTTTTCCCTGCTCCTGCACCTCAGAGATGTGGTGCTGGCTCAGTGCTGGAGGTCAGGAGTTTTCCTCTGAGGGAGCTCAGGCTGGGGAATAATGTCACTGTGAACCCTCTGAGCAGCTGCTTGGCTGCTCCCCAGTGCAGATGCTGCTCTTAAAGTCCTGCCTGAAGTGTGAGGGCCAGGAAAGCACCTGGGTCAGTCTCTTGTTTCTGCCTCTCTCCCAGAGCAGGCAGCTGGGAACGTGAAGGGGTTTTTTTTTCACCTCCATAAATTCCATTTTCATAGCAGGTGTCTGCTCTCTTACATCATTTGCGGAGATGACATCACTCTATCCCTGCCCAAAGCAAATGGGAGGGAGGATGGTAGAAATCTCTTTTTTTTCCTAATTTTTCTTTTTTTAAGAAGCAGAGAGGGGAATACTTTGCTCTCTTGATAAGTTTACAAGGACACCTGGAAGTACTTGAATGATGCCAGTTTGGGTAGAAAAAGTGCCTATTGATGCTGGAGTTGAGTTACTGCTGACAATTACAAAGTCAAACTATTCCCTTTCCCACTGTGCCTCCTGTCAGGCTGATCTATTCCAAGGACAGTTTGAGTTTTCTCTCCCATCAGGAAACTGTCACTAGCCAGTCACATCAATTCCAAGCAGATTTTATTTTTTCATGGCTTACCCTATGGAGTGAGAAATCAAAGGAAGGGGTGATGCTGGTACCTGCTGGCAAGGAGAGGGGCACAGGTGATGGATGATGCATCTGGCTTTTTTTTCTTCTAGTGTGTTCTTTGTTTTTCTCTAAGCATTGTGTCCTTTGCCTTCCCCTGACAATCCCAGGGCATCAGGGTTGGGATTCCTTCCAGATCTTTGTCTCAGGACAAAGCTGAGCTTTGAAGAGGTGCAGTCTCAGCCACTGCTTTTTTTGGGGGGAAATCCAGTTGGAGCAGGGGATGCAAAGGAGGCAGTGTCCATTTTTTTGAGGGAAATCCAACTGAAGTGAAGGATGCAAAGGAGGCAGTGTCCATCCCAGAGGATGCTCTGCCTGCACCCCAGCTCAGTTCCTGCTCTGAATAGCTGCTCTTATGACTGTCCCCACCTTTGCACAGGGGTTTTGCACAAGCTCTGGTGCAAAGCACCACAACTCTGGCCATGTACCTGTTGTGTCCTGTAATGTCACCGTGTCAGTGTCAGCCAGACGGGGCTTCTCAGCTTCCTGAGGGGACTCTGGCCCCATGTCACATGTGGGAGTGGAGCCCTTGTGTTCCATTGTCACGGGGCAGGCTGACACATGGGGACAAAATCAAAGGTTTTTTCCAGCCCTCGAGGTTGTGCAGGTAACCTAAAAATACCTCAGGAATGTGGCTGGGCGGTGACATCCTCCCGGGGCTGCCCCAGCGTTATCTGGCTGCTGCGCGGAGCCCGGGCGTGGCTCTGAGCCCCGGAGGTGCCTGTGCCAGTGCCTCTGCTTGTCAGACACTCTGGCTGAGGTGCCCATCCCCAAATTCCTCGCTGGACACCGGGATGTCACATCCTGCTCCCTTGCTCAGCCTCATCCGGAGCTGGTGGCACCGTGGCTGTGACGTCCTGCCATCCTCTGATTGTCCCCAGCCTCATGGACAATGCCATGCCCCATCCAAGGGGATGAGAAGGATAACACTGTTCCCTTTCCACCTGGATTCAGTTCAAAGGCTCTGTTTTCAAGCAGAGTTTCCAGCCTGTGTGTCCTGTGCATAGTGGGGCACATAAGGCATCCCCATGGGATGTGTGGAACAGTGAGCACATCCCGGACTGGGGCAGTGCCTGCACTGCAGCCTTGACCAGGGAAGCTGCTGCCATTCCTGGGAGATGTGGGCTCATCAGGCAGTGTGTGCTGGGATGGCACAGCCAGCTGGTGCATGGGCTTGTCTCTGAGCTGAGGGAATTAAGTATTCCATGAAAATCAGGCTGTCCCTATGGTTAGGCAGCAGCTCTACTTAGGGGACAGGTGAATTAATTAATTCTGTGGTCTATCCCTATAAAAAGCTCCTTTCCAAGCCCAAATGGGACACTTCTGCTGCTCATGGCACAGCAGCTCGTCCCCTTCTCCACTCCCTGGCTGTGATGGTGACCCAGCCTTAACTGCAGTGGCCTCGGGAGGGGCTGTGTGTCCACAGGGGAAGGGTGGGGAGAGGGGCCCAGCGTTGGCAGGGCACTGTTTGAGCTCATTGCTGTTTTTGTGGGTGTGCTCTTCCCCTTATTCAAGCCAGCCCCCTGGCAGGAGGCTGCTGGGAGGGATGGGAGCCATCCTTGTCCCTGGCTCTGCCCTGTGCAAGTACCTGAATTCTTCCCAGGGTTTGCTCTCCCAGCATCCCTCACCTGTTTTGGGGCGACATCCCTCATGGGGAGGCTTTGTTAACACCACCTGATGCTTTTTGTTCCCCTGGGATTACCTGTGCCCTATAAAGGACTGGATAATTTCTGGCAAATTATGCACGTCTGGTTATTCCAACTGTACCAGCAAACCTTTGAAACAGTTCCCAGCAGTGAGACTTGAAAGGATGGTTGGGTTTGTTTTTATTTCTTCCCTTTTTCCCCCCCTTGTTTGTTTACTTTTTAAGATGCTTTTGAGATGTCAGGAAGCTCAGCTTTACACCACCCCTGGTCCTCGGGCGCTGAAACCCAACGGGACAAATTCAAAGGAAATCTTCTTTCCCATCCCACCTGCTGGGTTAGGGACTTTCTGCTCCAGAGCAGCTCTGACTCTGTGGGTGTCTGTGAAGATCCTTGGAGTGTCTGTGTGTCTGGGTGAGAGGGAATTAGCTGTTAATGGAGTGAGTGAAGGGAGGGCAGCACGGCACTGCTCTCCCCAGGAGCGCTGGGGACGGGTGCTGGTGGCTCTCAGTGCCATCTGCAAGAGCAGCTCCTGCGTCAGCATCCTTTATGTGCTGATGATCTGTGCCTGAAACTATACCCTGGGAGTGGAAATGAGCCTGAGAAAATACCTTCCGCAGTCCTTCTGGGGCTTACATAAACACTATTTAAAATTAGAGCCACTCATTATGTTGGTATGTGCGTTTACCTTGACCTCTGACTTTTCAGCCTGCAAATGTGCCTGGTCCAGGCACAGCCTGGAGTTGGGAGAGAGCTCAGCAGCAAAGCACTGGTAGATTTTCTATAATTAGTTTAAGGTAAAGAATCTGGTACAGTATCTCCCCTCCAGGCTGACAGGGAAATCGAAAACAAAACTGCAGCCTGTCAGAGCTGAGCCTGGCTTTGATCAGGAACATCAGGGCTGGCTTCTGCTGGAGTGGCTTTGAGGGAAAGGGGAAGAGCAGCAATTCTTGGCCGTGGCTTCTCTTGCACGTGCTTGCAGAGAAATGGGTGCTTTTATTTTCCCACTCTCCCTTGCTATTTCCCAGCCAAGTGCATGCAGCAATTTATATTTTGCTACCAGAGATGCCGTCTCGGCTGTCACCCTGGAATAGCTGCTGAGCTCCGAGCTGGCATTGTCATGGAACAATATTTCTACTATTTGTTGTGGTAATAGTTGTTAGTGGCAGAGCAATTACTGTGTCACCTGCAGCACAACGAAACGTGACCTCTTTCCATCCCAGCCCCCTTTGGTGCCCAAACCATCGAGCCTGGGCTCTGCTGCTCGGTGCCAGGGCTGTCCTGGAGCAAGGGTCACTCCGGTGGGACGCCTGGGCCTGCAGGCTGGCTCGGAATGGTTGAGTTTGTGGGAAGAGAGCGTGTCCCACCGGGATGCACTTCAGCAATCCAGCGCTTCGGCAGCTCCCGGAGCTGGAGTTTGGCTCCCCACCAGTTTCCTGTTGACGTCACCTGCTATTTCTCTGCTGCAGTTTTTACAACTGTTGAGCTTTCAAGGGTAATCGGAGCCGAGTCCGGCCAACCTCGGCAGCTGCCGATGAGCGAACGCGGCTCTACCTTCCCCAATCCCCCCGGCTTGCCTTGGCTGCTGCTCCCAGCCTTGGGGACCCCTGGGATTTGGGGACACAGGGCTCTGTGAAGCCAGCGGGTGCTTGGGGCCATGCATTCCCACTGAAAGGAATCAGCGGTGCTTGCAAGAAGTGCCGTGCGCTGGATCCTGCGGGAATTTTTTCCCCTCCCTCCTCCAGTCCGCCCCCATCCCTCTCTTGTGCCAGGCGTGCAGGCGCTGCTCTTCATTTCTGGGAAACCATGGACAAGAAGCAAGGTAGATGTTGCAATTTCCAAAACACGTGGTGGGGGAGAGCAAAGGGCTGGTTTTGCTGCTAAAAGGGGCTGTGTAACTTTTCTGGGCTCAATCCACGCGGTTTTGTTTCTCCTGGCTTGGGCAGGGGGTCTCTCTCTTTGCAGCTGGGGATCTATTTTTAAAGCGCTGGAAAAGTTGCATGTTTCGTGGGGTTAAAACTCTGGCGTCTTAATTGTTTAAAAAAAGAAAAAAAAAAATCAAATCCAGCATGTCTGAAGGAAAATATGCAGAGGGTGAAGCCGGCTTCTGGCTCTGGGGTTGAATTGCATTCCTGGGACGCAGGGTTTTCCAGCAGCTCTTGGTGGCTGTCCCCTGCCTGTTGCACGGGCAAGGTGGGTGCCCACGGCCCCAGCAGTCAGCAGCTGTGATTCAGCACAGGCTGAGAGGCTGGTTTGGGGCTGCAAGGGGCTTTTTGTGCAGCGTGGTTCTTTCCTGCTGCTCGCCGGCGGTTTTGCAGAAGTGCGGAGCGCGCTGACCCGCGGGAGCCCCTCTGCAGCGGGGCCTCGGCGCCTGATGAGTGATGGCTCTCAGCAGGTTGAGAGCCCTTTTTCCGCTTCCATGGATAGCTTGTTCCACTCCCAACAGTGGAAAACAGCACAAAGCGTGCCTGTGAGGAGCTGGCTCTCATGACCAAGCACCCAAATTCCCCTCTTTCTGTTCTGCACCCTGCCTCCAATTTATTTCCTTTCTTTTCTTCTTTTTTTTTTTTTTCCTCCTTCATGTTTTTTTTGTTCCAGCTCTTTATTTGCAGCAGGGCTGGGATCCACCCTCCAGCTTTCTGCCCTATCCATGGCATCTGACTCTCCTCCTTGGATCCAGGAGAACTGAGATGCATCCAAAACACTTTCCCCAGCACTAACAAAGCAGCACAGCTCTCAGAGCAGCCTCCCGTGCCCAGGACTTCACCTGGGGCTACAACCAGAGCCCTGGAGAGGCAGTGGTGAGGTTTAATTTCAAAGGTCGACTCAGGCAAATAGTTTTATTTGCAGTTCTTTAGATTGTCCTGTTCATTTCTCTCCGCCCACGCCAGCAGAGTGGGAAGGAAAAACCTCCCGTGGAGAGGTGCAGCTCAGTAGGGCTGAAGTTGGTGGTGGCAAAAATGAGGATTCCGGTGTTGAATTAGGCAGTTCCAGGAAATGTCTGGTGGTTCTTAACTGGTGGTGGTTATAGCATGAGAAAGAATCTCTTTGGGCTTTTTTTTTTTTTTTTTTCTCTTTAGGAGGAAATGGTTCCTTTCTTAGCATAAAGGATGCAGTTACGTGCCTGCAGCGTCACGTGGGTTGCAATTTCATCCGCACCAGGAACTTCTGTCAGCTAATTTTCCCCTGCCTGGGTGCAGGGCACTGTGCTGTGTGTGTGTCTGTGGCTGGCAGCCCTTTCCTGTGCCCAGAATGGTGCCCTGCCACCCCGTGGGCTCAGGGCTGGCAGGGATAACCAGGACACGTCCCCAAATCGCCTTGTCCTGCTCCTGCCTTTTGGCCTTTGCAGAGGGATGTCTTGAGGGGAGCTTGTGCTTGCAGACACCCCTCTTGCAGGAGCCCAGTGCCCTGGGAATCTGGAGCATTTCCAGGATTTTCAGGTGACAGAAGCAGTTGTGCACATTCTGGCAATTCCTCCTGCAGGGACCCTCGCAGGATCCCAGATGTGGGAGGGATTGTGCTGAGTCTCAGGGGTAGGAGAGGCAGTGCCAGGGACTCTCCAGTGGGAAGGAGCTGACAGCAGCTGCCTGCGGGGGCTGAAGGGCTTGAGTTGCAGGGTCATGTCATGCCCATCCCACTGCCTTGCTGCTTCTCTCTTTTTGGCCTTTTTTTTATTCCCTTCCCTGGTTTTTCCTGCATTCTCATTCACCCTGAACGGGGCATGGGCTCTCCCTGGGGAGAGGCACAAGCAGTGGGAGAAGCTTGCAGCAAGGAGTAGCCCAGGCCGGCCTTTGGGAGCTGGAAATCTCCTGTCAGATTTTAGGAGAGCTGTAACAAACAAGTCCAACCTCTGCCTCAGCTCCCTGGCTGCAGGGCAGCATCCTGGGGGTTTTATTCTTGCAAGAATCTCCTGAGCTGGGTTTTCTGTCCTTCTCAGGTGGCCCAGGCAGAGTCTGGGAGTGGTGGTGTAATACCTCTGCTTTAATCAGTGCTTTTTCATGTTGGAGCTAGGAAATGCCTTTTGGGGCTAAGCAGGACAGGCTGGGAAAGGGATGGCTGCTGATTCCACCTCTGGGAAGTCAAGGGTGGAAGTTTGGGAGTACAGGGTGCCTGTGACAGCAGAGTTCATGGCCAGGGCACATCAAAAGACTCTCCTGTACAGAGCTGGGGGTTTGGAACAGGGAATGTCTGTGTCCCTTGCTGCCCTGGTATCCCATGCTGCAAATCCTGCCTGCAAGCTTGGACTCTGCTGGACAAGGCACCCTGTGATTCCCAACCCCACCCTGGGTGCTCCCAGCTCCCTCCACCCCCAGAAGGGCTGAGGAAGGGCTCAGGCCGCCCTGCAGAGGCTGGCTTGGGTGCCTGTGGACCCTGTGAGTCACGGCCACGGTGCCAGGGGAGCTGCTGGTGGCACAGAAGGCGCTTTGTGCCGGCTCCGCGGGGTTACTATGGCAATTGGGGAGAGGGAGAGCAAACAGATGGAGCAGGATCCCAGCCAGCATGGGGGGATTGCAGGGCTTCGTGTGCAGGTCTGGCTGGTAACTGCTTGAGGAGGGAGGGCTGCGTGTGGAGCAGAGACCAAACGGAGTTTTGGAGCAGGTCCTGGTGGTGAAACGCTCAGCACGGGGCAAAATCCATCCCCTGAGTGCCCACAGCAACTCCCCAGCTTGCAGAAGGACTCAGGGGACCCCAGTTTGTAGATTCTGTTCTTGGCCTCCCACACTGAGTAGCAGGAGGCTGGGAGTGGGAAGGGAGGCACTGCTGAACCCACGGACAGGATCGTTCCTCTGGCTCCGTTCTGTGTTTGCTCCCATCGTTGCTCCACTGGGTGTTTTGCCAAGTGCCATCCGTGGGTGTGTGGGGCTATTCATAGTGCCCCTTCCAGCCCTGCTGGGTGGGCAGTGGGGAAGGGAAACTCTGCAGGCTCACAAATTAGAACTTGTGACTGCTCTGACACGGTCAGGTGCTTTCCATCCCAGCGGGATGGGTTTGGGGTGGAGTGGCTCCTGTGCTGGTTTCACTGAGCTGGAAGTTCACATCATGGAAACTGTGCTGGTCTTGGAGCCTTTGGCTCAGCTCTGATGCAGGAAAAGTGGCAGATAAGGTGGGGGTGTGGGCTGATCTGTGCTGATTCCCTCAGCAGGGAGGGATGCTGCTGGTCCTGCAGGTGGGACATTTGCAGTGTGCTGCAGACCCACAACCTCAGTGAGGTTTGCATTTGGGGAAGGACAAGGCAGGAGAAGCGAGTCCCTGTTTTGTCCTGGAGCTGGCAGGGCACAGGGCTGGGGGCTGTCAGAGCTGGGGACATGCTGGCCATGTGTCTCCTTTGTGTCCTGCTGCAGCTGCAGGAGCTGCTGCACGGTGCTGTCTCCTGCTGAAATTGCAGCTCCTCGCTCTCCCCTCCCTTCCCTGGCAGCCTTTGGAGTGCTGGACTTTGTCCACACGCCTGCTCCCAGCAGCCAGGCAGGTGGGAGCTGCTCTGGAAGGCTGTCCAAGGCCACGCTGAGCCTGGAGCACACCTTGGTATTCCTGCTTTCCAATGGATCCTCCAGCTCTGTGCAGCCACAGCAGCTTTGCCTGCACAGTGCAGCTGCCCCCATGTCTCTCCTGGGGGGATCAGGACCTCCATGCTCTCCAGGCTGCTGCACTTTCAGCCCCTTGGGGTCAGTTTGTTTTCCCAGGGATGGAATTCTCTTCACCTGCAGGTTTCTGGCCCTGCCTGAGCCCCGTGTCCCTCTGCAGCAGTGGGTGTTGTTATCTCAGGGCTGTTTAAAGGAGGGGGACAGGAGCATCCTCTTGCCATCACTCCTGGTGCCTTGTCCTGGTGTCTCAGCCCCAGATTTGTGAGGGGTTCGCTGCTGGCTGACAGTGAGCTCATGTCTGGTTTTTCCCTATTTTCCATTTGTTATGAATGGGGTGTCCCCTCTCCTGCTGGGACCAACCCCTTCCTTTTGCTGGATTTTGGAGTGCTTTTGTAGGATTTTTGCTGGATGTCTCGTGGTCATTGCTCTCCATGGCAGATCCAGCTCTGACTCTTCCCACGAGGGCCAGGCGGGGGCTGGGGCCCTCTGGACTGGGAATGTTTTTTGGGAGCCCTGCACATCACTAATGGCGTGGGGACCTCTTGTGGCTGGAGAAACGGGGATGGGGCCAGGCCTGGCTGTGCTCCCAAAGCCCAGCTGCACATGGAGGCTGAGCTGCTGTCTCGTTTTTCTCTTTCAGATTCCAAAGGATCCTTGGAGCCACACAAACCAGGTAAGTTCCCAGCAGAAATTGCAGCTTTCACCCCAGAAAGGGTTTAAACCCCAAAGAGAGGGGACTGTTAATGGCCATGAAGGGTAAAGAGCACTTTTGGGGTACAGTCCCTGGCTGCAAGACCTGGAAAATGGTCTGTTGGTGCACCCTTGGCTATTTCTACAGAGCAGTGCTCAACAGTGTCATTGAGACCCTCTTGTGCTCTGGCTCTTGCCTGAAATTTTGGGCAGGTGGTCCCTGTGACTTTCTTGGCATTTTGCTGACCTTGGTGAGGGGTCCAAGCCGTGCATTCCTGCCTAGTGGCTGCTGGGAAAAGGGTGCTTGAAGGAAAAAAGAGCAAAAATCCCTTTGCTCGCCTCACTTGTGCGTCTTCTCTTGCAGTGAAAGGCAAGAAGAAACGGGACCTGAGGATAACATGTGTCCCCATCAAACCACCCGTGGCCAACACCACGTAAGGATCTCTGCTGCTTGGAGCTTCTCCAGAGCTGCATTTGGCACTTCCCCGGGGGGAATGGCCTGTGAAGGGTTCCCAAAATCAGCATAGTTGTTCTTTTCTGTGAAGCTGGATGATGAGGAGGAATTGCACACGTGTGTGCAGACATGTGCACAGCGTGTGTGGCTCTGGGAGGTGCCTGTTTGATAGGAAATGTCCCAAAGGCAAAGACTCAGAATCCTCTGGGGAGCTCTCCCCAGTGTTTCTGCCATGGCTCTGCCAATGCCAAAGGGCAAAGATGTGGTAGAGAGAGTGAATCTGCCTGAGGGAAGAATTTTAATGCAGGGGAAGAGAAGTGGTGGTAGCTGGACCGCAACAGAAACCAGAGGCACAAAGGTTGGGGAGTGTTTTACACGACCTGAGTATCAGGTTTAGTTTAAGTTGTTTGCAGCTCCTTACCCTGCTAAAAGGAGGACACAGACATCTTGCACTGTTGTACTGTTTGGGGCCAGTGCCCAGCAGTATCTCAGGGCACTGGAATTTCTCCCTGCCCTGTTTGCTTTGAGCTGCTGATGCTTGTTATGCTGTGGGGGAGAGCCCAGGGTAGCTGTGCTTGGTTTGACAAAGAGCAGACTGCTAAAATTCCACTTCCATGGTGCTCTTCCAAAACACTTTGGGCTGCATCACCACTGCCGAGCCTTGTTTGCCCCAGAAACCTCTTCTAGAGAACTCCAGGAGAGCACTGAAGGCTCCAAAAGGGAAATATCACTGCGGCAAACCCCGGGTAGAAAGGAGGAGGCAGGGGAGCTCACACAGCCCTGCCCTGCCCTGTCTGTAACAGCCACCTCCTTTGCCCACAGGCACATCTGCCTCTGCTCCTGCCAGGGTTTGAGTTCCCCCTGGAGAAGGCCTCATGCTGGAGTCTGCAGGGCTTTGCATGCCCAGAGGCCGGTGCAAGCTGCCCCCTGCTCCTTCTCTCCCTGCTTTTCAAGCTGCAGTGCAAATATTTGCACAGTGCAAGGCTTTTGCTCAGAGCCCAAAGTACTTCCTTGAAGCTGGAGGCTGCTCTGATGGGAATTGAGACTAAACCAGTTGGGCAATCTCTGCTCTTTAGGAGCTCCCAGGGGATGGGGAGAGCCCAGCAGTGAGGCACAAGGGGCAGGGCACTCGTGGTGGCTCTAAAAGCACCGTGCTGCCCAGAATGGGAAGTGGGCAGCAATAAGGAAAAAAAGGCCATAAAGCACAACTTTCACCTGCCTGGTGTTGTGCAAAGGGTGACACCAAAGTGCTGCCTGCTCTGGCTGCCTGGAACAGGCAGCAGAGTGTACACAAATGACTCACAGGGGAGGAATTACCTGTTGTTCCCTCGCGTGCGTTTCGGGCTACGTGGCTGTGCTGCTACAACACCTGCCTGTCAAAACACGACAGCCGAGCTGCTCTGCCACAGAAACGTCTCATCTCAGCTCCTCAGGCTCCTCTCCCCAGCAGGAATGGTTTCTCAGCCTGGTGGTTTGGTGCATGTCTCACCTGGCTGATTCCCTGCGGTTCTCACTGTGCCCCGTGGGTGTGGGTTGAGGCGTTACTGGCACGATTTAAAGCATTTGTGGGTGTTTGGAGGGGGCTGGTTGGAACCTACAGTGAGGCACAGGGGGGAAAGCAGCAGCTGAAAGTGCTCAAAGGAATGTGAAACCTGGCCAAGAGGGTGAATGAAGCTGGGCTTTCTCCTGACTCTGTCTCATTTCTTGCAGGCCTCCCAGGAACTTGGACTCCAGGGCCTTCATTACCATTGGAGATAAAGTACGTGTCAATGGGGTTTCTTTTTTTGCTTCCTTCCAGTTTGGTTTTCCCTGGGCATGGGGAGCTCTGTGGATTGTGCCTTGCAACCTGTCAGATCAGGAGTGCAGCTTCATGGGATACAACTTTCAATCTAAACCATTTTAGGATGATCCAACCCATCTGCCCTAAATGAGGGTGGCCTCACCAAGCTCTCAGAGTGCCCCAAACACAGTCCCTTTATCCTGCTTGTGTTGCTGGTTGAGGCCCAGGAGAAGCTGGGCACAAAGTTTCTCTCTGGCTCTCCAAAGTCTTTCCTGATGACCTGATGAAAAGCACTGCTGGAAATAGCCACTGTCCCTCTTTATTTCATTCTCTTGTTATGGGCTCTCTTGGGGCTGCAGAAGCTATTTGCAAACGAGCTAAAAATACCCTGCATTGGATCAGCCCTATATCCAGACCCTTCCAGGCTGGGAGGTGACTTGGCTGATGGGATCTGGGTCCCTTGGCCTCAGTGCAAGGATTAGGGTTGAGGAGAGGAAGCTTTGGCTGGGTCCAGGGAGCAATCCTGCTGCCTGTGCTGTTTTCTGGTGTTGTGTGTAGCAAGAGCTGTGGCAGAGATGCTCTGTGTAACAGCCTGGGCACTGTGTGCAAGGGGACAGTGCTGCAGCCTAGGGAAAACTCTCCAGAGTCACTTCCCTGCCTGCTCCAGTGTTTGCAGGAAGGGTCTGGTCCGGGTATTTTGGAGTGACATGGTGTAGAAGAGGCCTTGGGCAGGAGTGCAGCTTCAGGAGCGGAGGTGGGTGGTGACCCCGGGTCCCTGGGATGTGCACAGGCCATGCCATGCATCCCATTGTCCTGGGAGGGCTCCGTGGGTGCCTCCATCGCCTCTTGTTGCTGGGCAGGGCAGCGCTGGTTTCTGGAGCGTGCTGGGAGCCTCGGGGCAAATGCCAGGAAAGGAAAAACACAATAACCAGGAACAACTGCACAACACGTGTGCAAAAAGCACCACCAGATCCTTCCTGGAGGCCCCTGCACTGCTCCTCTGCCTGCTGCCCGTGCTCTCCTCACTTCAGGATCCACGTCCTGCCCAGGAAAGGGCCAGAACCTTCCTGTGCTGGGCAGGGCACAGCTCAGGCTGAGCTCAGCCCTCCCTGCCCGCCGCATCTGGCTGCCATCCACAGCCACATCTGGGCTGGCAGGAAGGTCGGGCAGACCCGCTGGCTGCTGCCTGTGCTGAGGGGACAGTGCTGAGGGGACAGGGCTGGCCAGAGTCTGGCAGCCACATGTCCCAGCCAGAGGCCGTTTCCTCTCTCCCTGCGCAGGGCGTAGCTCTGTATCCGGAGCTGTGCCGAGCTCCTTTCCCACCCTCGCTGCCTTTGTGGCCACTGGGGCACTTTGGCATCCTGGTATTATTTTCGTTCCCTGAGACCGGAGGAGAGCTGGAGGCTGGATAAAGGCTGGCTGGAAGGAGGCTGTGACTTATTAGGAGCCATGAATGCAGCATCCAAAAATAGCCTGTGTGTCACTGGGCTGGTGCCCTGCCCAGCAGAGGCAGCAATTACAGGGGAACGTGGCTTTAGGGAAACTTGTTTGTGGCTGGTGCAGGAGCTCGCTGGCTCCCTGCACTGTCAGGGTGAGCTCTGGCCATGGCTTTTTCACAGCTTAGGTAGTTGTTTTCTTGCTGTTAACGCAGGTTTTACCTTGCTGGCAGCTTTTTGGTGGTAGGAGAAGGTACTGGAAGTGGGTAAAACCTGTTGAACTCACTTAGAAATGCAGTTGCTGTGTGCACCCCATCTAAGAGAGGTGTTGTTAGACGTACAGATAGGTTTTTGTGACTGATGATTTTAGGGATGTGGGGAGAGGTGAGGGATCCCTGGCTGCACACAGGGGTTTGGAGCTTGGTGGAGGCTCCTGACTGCTGCCCATGTTGGCACAGGAGCTGTTAAAATCCTGCAGATAATTCAGCAGCTGCAGAAATACCCTTGGTGGGTAATCCCCACAGGCAGAGAGGCACCAACCTTTGATGCCCTTTTAGTGGCAACGTTCCCTGGGCTTAAAGGATGAAAGTCCTGATCTCCAGCTGCAGAGGGGGAATTAAATGAACCCTGGTGAGCGTGGGGTGAGAGGGTTTGGGCTGTGATTCAACAGAGCCAAAAATACCCCCATCATGGTGCCTCTGGAGTCGTCTGTTGTTCGAAACGCTCTGCACCAGCGAGCTGACAGTGTTGCTGATCTCCTTGCTGACAAACCTGCCTGTCCCTGATGCCATTTTGTCCTCTCTCCCCGAAGAACTTCGAGGTGGAAGCTGATGACCTGGTGAGCATTTCAGAGCTGGGCCGTGGGGCCTACGGCGTGGTGGAGAAAGTGCGGCACGCGCAGAGCGGCACCATCATGGCCGTGAAGGTGAGCACACCTGGCTGGGCTGGGACACCTGGCTGGGCTGGGACACCTGGGTGGAGTGAGGATCATGAGATACAGCCCCAAGGGAGCAGAGGAACTGCTGAGCTCCACTGGTTGTGGCAAAACGAGGATGGGTTTATCTGGGTTTGGCAGGCTCTGGCGTTCCTGGTGTGGTTTGGCCAGTGCAGGGTCTGTGCTGATACTGGCTGGGCACACTGGGGTTGATAACAGGCCTGGGAATCCAGGATTGGTGCCTGCAGTGCAAGGCTGGCATGGCAGAGTGCCTGTCCAGGCTGCTGGCCTGGCCCTGCACCCTCTGCAGAGCGTGCCAAGGGCTTGGCATTCGTTGAGGTTCTGTCTGGCAGAGGCAATTTGGGCGTCTCCTCCTGGGTGCTGCTGGCTGCAAAAGAAGGATAAAACACCCTGGCCCCAGGACTGCAGGTCCTGAGTCAGGCTGGGGTATTCAAGGAGCTCAATCAAAAGTTATAGTCATGCCTTTTTGCTTTGCTTGCTTTTAGCCATGCAGGTTGGCCAGTTAGCCAACCTAAAACAAATGTTTGAATATCTACTAATATCTTCTACTGTTTGAATATCTGATATCTGGTTACCCCACCTACACCAAACTCTTGTTGTTTCATGTTTGTCTCAGAGGATTCGAGCCACTGTGAACACTCAGGAGCAGAAGAGGTTGCTGATGGACCTGGACATCTCCATGAGGACAGTGGACTGCTTCTACACAGTCACTTTCTACGGAGCCCTGTTCCGTGAGGTACTGACCTTCTGAGTGCCTGGGGCCACCTGGGGCTGTGGGATTGCACCAAACTGTCCCCAAAACACCTCTCTGTGCTTATCTCCAGCCCTTTATCTCCCCTGGGTTTCCAGGGAATTCCCTCTCAGCTGCTTTCTCTCCATCCGCAGGGTGACGTGTGGATCTGCATGGAACTCATGGACACTTCCCTAGATAAATTCTACAAGAAAGTACTGGAGAAGAAGAAAACCATCCCTGAAGACATTTTGGGGAAAATGGCTGTGTCTGTGAGTGGCTCTTGGGTTCTTAGATGGGTTTGTGCATCCCCTGAGCCTGCTGGGGGCTGTGGTGTGTTTGCAGTGAGAGGCTGCTGCTGCCTGTGACTGATGGGTGCTTTTCCACTCTTTTATCCCCAGATTGTACGAGCTCTGGAGCACCTGCACAGTAAACTGTCTGTAATCCACAGAGGTAAGTGCTGGATGGGGTTAGTGAAGTGTGGCTGGAGATCCAGGCTAGGGGAGGGCACCTTTCCAGCTGTGCTATGTCCCTGTGGGATGCCTAAAGTGGAATCTGCTGGTGCTCAGGACTGTGGTGAACAGATCTAGATGCTTGTTCCTGAGATGCTTCCCTTTCTGCAAGGTGTTGTTCTCTTCCTTCTTTCCAGATGAAGGGTTGAATGTAACAACAGAATTCCTTACCACCTCTATTTTATAAGCATCTCTGTCCCTCTTGGAGTACAGAAGTGCCTTGAAGGCAGCTCTTGGAGATAAAATCCCCAAATCCTCCTGGCTGGGTAGTTTTAGCAAAGTGAGGGCTGGAGGAGACCTTACAAAATCCCAGATAGGAATTGTAGCACCCAGGTCTTGCTCTCCACCCTGGTGAGCTCCCTTGTGTAGCTGTAGACAGATCAGGATGTGCATGAGACAAACTCTCCTGAAGGTTTGGCAGAGCTCTGCTTTTAAGGCTGTGTTGGGCACATAAATCTCTCCTAAGGAGCTGGGGAAAAACTCCTCAACATTTTATTTCAACTTTTTGACCGGCCTGGTTGGAGAGGGGACTTGTTCTCCCTAAGGATGTGGTTGTAATTCACCTGTGAATAACTTTTATTGCAGTAAGACTGGTGGGGCTTTGTCTCCCTTCCCCTGTGCTGGGGCCTGCCTGGTCCCTCCCAGGCCTGCAGGGAATTGCCAGTTTTGTCTCAGACTCTTCAATACCCCTGCAAACACCCAAATTTTCCCTCTTGCATTTCCTCTTAGACGTGAAGCCCTCCAACGTGCTGATCAACAAGGAGGGGCACGTGAAGATGTGTGACTTTGGGATCAGTGGTTACTTGGTGGACTCTGTAGCCAAGACCATGGATGCTGGCTGCAAACCCTACATGGCTGTAAGTGCAACCCCTGTGCAGCCTCAGCCCTGCTCAGGAATGAGTCTGTTCCACCTCCAGCCTGAGATAAAAGCCACTCGGGAGTGCTCTGCTCTCCCTGACTCAGCAGAGCCTCCCTGTAAACCCAGCTCTGTGTTAATCCCACAGTGACTCTCCCTCTGCCCCTTCCACCTGCAGAAGGACACAGAACTGGTTGTGGCGCTGCTCCTTGTTGGATAGAAAGGGCTGAGGCTTTTCTTGGCAGGATTGTTTAGTTTCATCCTCAAGTCAGTCTGAATTTCCCTTTGCCATCTGTGGCATCCATGTGGGAAGTGTGTGCTCCTGGGGGAGGGATCATGCAAGATTCACTCCCCTTCAAAGAGGCAGAGTTGATGTGAGTTGTGTGGAGCAAGATGTGGCTTTCATTCAACCTCAGACCCTGCCTCCCTGAGGACATGAGCCAGGGAAATCCACCCAGCCTGGCTTTTGGAGACTGAGATGTGCTCTGTGGAGCTTGCACTGGGAAATCAGGAGCGGTAACATCTCCCATTTTGCTGTTACAGCCAGAAAGAATAAACCCTGAGCTGAACCAGAAGGGCTACAACGTGAAGTCAGACGTGTGGAGCCTTGGGATCACAATGGTAACACCAAGGGCTGGGACCTGGACCTGCAGCCCTGGGGTTGGGATGGGTTTGGGCAGGTGGGGCTGTGCCCTGCTGGGAGCACTGGCAGCTGGGTGGGTGCCCGTCAAGCAGGGCTCAATTTGAGCATGGACAATGAGGTTAATTACCCAGGGAATTTAAGCTCCCAGCAGACAATATCAGGATGACAATGACTATCCATGCTGAGTATCCAAGACTCTGGATTTTAATGCCCAGCAGCTCCCTGCCTGCTGGCTGAGGGGTGGTCAGTGGAGCAGGGTTTGCTGCAGCTGGGGCTCAGCCTTCCTGCTTCACCCCCCAAGTCAGCAGAGCCTGTCAGGGGATTCCAGTCCTGCTGCACTGAGAGCTGCTGTGTGTGGTTTGCAGCAAATCCTGCCTGCGGGGTAGCTCAGAGCAGCCAACAGGAAGGGGAAATGCTTTCAGTTCCAAAACTGCAGCTGCTTGGGATGGTTTATCTGCCTCCTGCAAGAAACAGACCTTGCAGAAAGCAGCTGAGATCCTCTGGCGCCAGTGGACAGAGGAAATCCCAGCTGCTGGCTCCAGGGGATGCTGCCTGGGAAACAGCTCCTGCTTTCCAGGAGATTTTCTCTGAGGGCAGATTATTTTCAGGAACTTTTCCTGTGCCCTCTTAGGCTTTTGTTTTGGGGGCTGCATCCCTGTGTTTGTGCATGCTGTGTCTTGGCAAATATTCCAGCGTGGTCTCATCCATACCCAAGTGCCAAACCCAAGCCCCTCTCCCTGGTGTCCCCATGCCAGTGCAGAGCTGGTCTGGCTGGCTGGAAATGTCATCAGGAATGTCATCTGAGCTGCAGGAAGCTGCGGGATGGGAGCCTCTGAGTGATGGAATATCCAAACCTTTCCAAAGCTGGAAGGGAGAGGACACCTTGCTGGAAGCTGGCCAGCCTGCAGCTGAATGGAGCCCCTGAGTGTTTGGTTCCTCCTTGTGTCTTCCTCCTGGGCTGGCTTCCTGGGATTTTTTAGGTTTATTTTCTTTATGAAGGACTTGGATTGATTTCAGACCAGACAGTTTGTGGGCCATTGAGTTGCAGGGCTGTTCCAGGCCTTCCTGGGCTGGTGGCTTCATTCAGTTTTGGAGCAGCAGGAACTGAGTTCCCCTGACCCGACCCAGAGGCAGGGAGGGACACTGGGCTCTGTCCTTTCAGGTTTGTTATTCCTCCCATCCCATCACAGCCTGCCAGGCAGGTCTCAATGTTCTGTTGCCCATTTTGAGACAGGAGCTGATCCTTGGCATGAGGAGACTACCCAAGAGCTGTGACAGACTTTTTCCTGCTTAAATGAGGGATGGAGCAGTGGTGACTTGTAGGAAGAACCCAGTAATTGAGGTGGTTTTGGCAAAATTACGTTCTAGCGCTTAATTTTTCTTGGGTTTGTGGATTTTTTGTGTGTTTAGTTCATGCAGTGCCAGCCCAGGGCCCAGAGGCTGCCTTAGGGCCAGCAGAGCACTTTGGAAGCCAGTGCAGAAACTGTGTGCTGTTATTATCTTTTTAAATAATCCCATTTTACATATCTTTTGTGACTTCCTGTAAATGCATTAATATGCTGAACCAACCTCAAAAGGAAGTACTTTTGGCCTCTGGGTCTTTGTATTTAAAAAAAAGATAAGAAAAAAAAAAGGTGGTATGACCCAAATTGAAAATGGTTTGTAAGGAAAGGTTTTCCTTTGAATCTGAGCATCATGGGGTTGTACCTGGTGTGTGTCTCATGTTAAGGAAAGAGGGTTTTCCTTTGAATCTGAACACTGTGGGGTTGTTCCTGATGTGTGTCTCATATTAAGGAAAGAGGGTTTTCCTTTGAATCTGAACACTGTGGGGTTGTTCCTGATGTGTGTCTCACATTAAGGAAAGAGGGTTTTCCTTTGAATCTGAACATTGTGGGGTTATTCCTGGTGTGTTTCTCACATTAAGGAAAGAGGGTTTTCCTTTGGATCTGAGCATTGTGGTGTTGTGCTTGGTGTGTGTCTCACATTGAGGAAGGAGGATTTTCCTTGAATCTGAGCTGTCTGGGCATGGTGGGTCTGTTCCTGGTGTGTTTCTCACGTGTCCCTGCCTCGCCCCCAGATCGAGCTGGCCATTCTCCGCTTCCCGTACGAGTCCTGGGGGACGCCCTTCCAGCAGCTCAAGCAGGTGGTGGAGGAGCCCTCGCCCCAGCTGCCCCCCGAACGCTTCTCCAAGGAGTTCGTGGACTTCACAGCACAGTGGTGAGGCTCCAGCAGGGACTGCTGGCTCTCCCAGGCTGCCTGAGGGGCAGCCCTGATCCGTGGGGGCTGCAGTGGAGTGTGGGGCTGGCTTGGCTGTCCTTTATTAGCCCATTTCTGCCCTCCTTGCTGTACCTGGTGCTCAGCATGGCAGGAAGCGCTGCCCAAACTGGTTTTGCTCTCAGCCTGACTCACCCAGGCTGGCTGGAAGGTGCAGAGGTTTCTCTTCCCCTTTTCCTGTCGCTGCTGCTGAAGTGTTGGTGTTTTCTGGCAAAGTGGCAGCGAAACCAGAAGCACCCCCTGGCAGCCTCTGGGTGAAAGCTGCTTTGTGGTTCTGTGGGATGCTGCTCCCTCAGGGTGTCCCCTGCTCCCTGGAGCTGGCAGGCAAGGGCAAGCTCACCCTGCAGGTGCTGGGAAACCATATCCTTTCCTTCCCTGTTGTTCTCTGTGTGGGGCAGACTGCAGAGCTGCTTGGCTTGTGCTTTTTGTGGCACAACACTGGGTTGTCCTTCCCCAGTTACCTGCCTGGCTGCTTTGCTGGTGGTTCAAACCTGCTCAGGCAAGGAGGGAGAGGGATGGGTGCAGCCCATGGGAAGGGGAGATCCCCTATGACAAGCCATGTTCAACAAAAGATCCTACAGCCTTTCTGTCCCTTTTTTTTGTTTCCTTCCAGCCTAAGGAAGAACCCAGCTGAGCGAATGAACTATTTAGAACTTATGGTGAGTGCAGAGCTGCTTCTGCTGGTCTTTATTCCCAGTTTTGAAACTCAACTCAGTGGTCCAGCAGGGAAATGGGACAACACATGGGTGATTTTTCAGGCATGGAGCGGGATGGGTGTAGTGTGTCAGAGGTGTGGAAGGGTGTGTTGATTTCATGGGTGTTAAGGTCAGGGTTTCCAGGTGTTTTCTCCCTCTGTCCTGTCTGCTCTGGGAGAGTTCAGACCTGGAAGGATGGCAGTACAGCTGCCAAGGTTGGGTGTCCTGCTGGGGCTGAACTGAGAAATGCCAGAATTCATCTTTTAGCTGAAGAATGGTGTCTGTGGGAGTCTGGGGAGGAGAGTGGAATCCACCTGAAGCTGTGTGACATCCCCTGGGATCTGTGGTGTCAGCTGACGTTTTCTTTGATCTCGTTGGCAGGAACACCCTTTCTTCACCTTGCACGACACCAAAGAGACTGACATGGCCTCCTTTGTGACAGAGATCCTCGGGGAAGACTCCTAACTGCCAGCCCCCAGCTCCCTGCAGTCCCTCCATCCCGGCTTCCCGCAGGACAGCGAGCGAGGACTCCAGTTCAGGGTGCTTTGCACAAATCACAGATCCACCTCCCCGGCCTGGGGGCATCTCTGGCCCCATCAAAATCTCTTTTTCTCTTTGCCCTGAGGAAAAAAACCCCGCAGGAGGAGCCTTTTGAAGCCAGCACCTTCCTAGCCAAGCCAAGGACTCCGAAGGCTCAGGAGGTCCCTGAGAGGAGCAGAGGGTGCCCGAGGCCACCTCCCCTCCCCAGTACCCACAGCACAGCACAGGGGGTTGTGTTTCTTTGCTGTCAGGGGAAGACAGAGAGAACCAGTGCTGCTGAGCTTCTCCCACTCCTCTCCTGCCTGCCCAAGCTCCTTCCCTGGAGTCTGGTCTCACTTGCCTTCTCTCTGTGCCTGGCTCTCTGCCCCCAGGAGCTCATACAGCTTTAGGGGCTCATGGAGCTCCCTGGGCTGCTGCTCACACCAGAGGAATGTTTGGATGTTTTAATCCCTGGCTCAACACCTTAAGGACCCTTTGAGGCAGCACCAGCCCGGGCATCCCTCTCCCTCAGTCAGTGCTGCTCTCTTGAGGAGAGGGAGAAAAAGGCATTTTTCCATGAGCCCACTGTGCCACGAGCTGCATGGGGCTTCACCCAGCGTCCCTCCCTTCCCTGGTGGGCACCAGGGGATGCAGACACAGCAGCTGCCTGTCCTCCCTGTGGGCTGGGAGGTCACATCCCTGCCCTGGGCATCGCCTTCCTCAGCCCTGGCTGCCTCCATCCCACCCTGCCTGGCTCCTGAGAAGTCTCTGCTCCATCTGCTGTCCAGCCTGGAGCTGCTGTCAGACCTCGCACTGTGACACCGTTCCAGAGGCTGAACTCGCACCCCTGGTGTCCCAAACTGTCCCCAACCCCTGCGGGTGCCAGCGAGAGCCAAAGCCCAGGGACTGGCCCGCGGCTGTTGTACATTTGATGTCTATATATGATGGACTTTGTAACTTTGTGTTTCCTAGGTTTGATTAACTCGCTATAAATTAAAGCCCTTTCTGTGTGGGAGGAGGGAGGAGCAGTTCTCTCTCTGCTGACAAATCCACTGTGAAAACCTGATGTGTTTCCCCCAGCTCCCAGTCAGGGGAGCCAGGGGAGCAGGAGGGGTTTCTGGCTTCTACTGTACATGATCACGGATAAACGCACCGGCTGTGGAATTTGGTTTTATTTTTTTTCTTTTTTTTTTAATAATTGAGTTTTTCTGAAGGATTTTTTTTTTCTTTTTCTAATATATATTTGTGTGTGTGTATGTGTGCTCTATATATATTATATATTTTTAAATCAATGATGAATGTGTGGATGTCTATGTGGCCAGCAGATCTGGCGTAATAACAATTTTTCTGGCTAAATTTGGGCAGGTGGGGAAGGGGTCACTAGAAAACACTCTGGCCTGAGATTACTTTTCTTCTTTCTTTTTTAAAGAAATGCATCTATTTTTTAACTGAAACTTTTAAAAATGTTATTCCTGAAATTCATGCCCTGGAGGTCTGGATTTCAGGGTGAATTCCCAGTGTTCAGGGTCCCCTTCAATGAAGAATGATGTTCCCTTAAATTCATTATCCCCCCTCCTGCAGCCCAGGGTTTGATGCAGTGTTGGGCTGGGAGCTGGGGTGCTCCACACCATCTGTCCCCACCTGGGAAAGCTGCTCTGGGGAAAATGGTTTTCAGCCCTTGATGCATCACACAGCCAAGGCTTTTCCTGTGCCATCCCTCTGATCCCCCACCCTGAGTCCACAAACCCTGAGGGACCCAGCCCAGGTGGAGCTGCACAAACCCTGTTCAGCTTCAGTTCAACCCTGAACCCCCAGCTCACTTCTGGATGGAAAATAAGGAAATGATTGATGTTCTCCATGTCTCCCTCCTCCTCATCCTGCTCTGCAAACCACCCAACACTCACCTGTACCTGCTTGGTTTGACAGCTTTGCTGCCGAGATGTACAACTGTAATTTTTTTTTCATAGTTGGTTACTTTGGATTATTTTTGTTTTGAGTTGAGCTTTTGGGTTTTCTCCCTTCTCTGTTTAAATTCCTTTCCCCTTCCTTTATCTCACCCTTTTTTTGGTGCTTTGGGGAATGGTGTTCATTTTTGTAAAAATTTTTTTTTGCATGCTTTTTATTTTTTTTTTCTGCATTTCTCCTCCTGGAGAGAGTCCTGATTTCTGTGTTTTGGGATAAGGGAACATCTGCCCTTTCAAACACAGGGGAGATGGCTCTGGGGTGGGCTTGGCCCCTGTGGATGAGCTGAGGCTTTGCTGAGGAGGCCGACACACCGCACCTCCCTGTGCCATCTCCTCTCACAGGTTTACCTGTCCAAATCCCGTGTCCTTTCCACTTCCCTGCTTCCCTGTCCCACCTCATTCCCTCTGCAGTGGCAGTTCCTGGGGAGAACCAGCTTGGCTTTAAGGTGGGCGAGGATTTTGCCTCCCATGGGAAGCCCCTCTCCCCTTGTATTTTTGGGAATGGTCTGTACCCCTCAACCCCATCCTTATTTCCAATAAAATTCACCCTCAAACCTGATTCTTGTCTCCTCTTGCTGTTTGAGGGCTGGGGGCGTTTGGGGCAGCAGCTTGGAGGGGTATTCTGCTTTCTCCCTATAGTGTGGGGTGATGCTGCGGCTGATTTGGGCATTGTACAAGCTGTGACCCTTGGGATGGGATCCCTGGAGCAGCTCCCTGGGCCTGGGGGTGCAGGAGGCTGGGGAGGGCTTGCAGAACACGGGAACCCCAACTCAGCATCCCTGGGGCCGGGCAGGAGGGGGAGGCTGTGGGTTTGTGGGGCAGGAGGGTGGTGCTGTGGGGTTCTGGGGCAGGGGGATGCTCACCATGGATCGGGGATCCCCTCGAGTCGAGGGTCCCGGGGCAGCAGGCGCTGCTCGCGGCCGCGAGGGGGAGGCAGCGCCCGGCGCCGGGACCCGGCGGGACCGAGCGGGATCCACAGGGGTGAACATCCACCGGGACACGGCGGGATGAGCCTGGATCCAGGGGGATGAACATACACCGGGACAGCCAGGATGAGCCTGGACCCACGGGATGAGCCCGGACCCACGGGGTCAACATCCACCGGGACACGGCGGGACCGAGCGGGATCCACGGGGCTGAACATTCAGCGGGACACCACGGGATGAGCCTGGATCCGCAGGGATGAACCTGGATCCATGAGGATGAGCATCCACCGGGACCCCGCGGGATGAGCCTGGATCCGCAGGGATGAGCCCCCACAGGTGGCAGGACCCGGCGTAGCCCCCCCCGTTTCCATCCCAAGCCCCTCTCTCAGCACCTCCCAGGCCGGGATTAGGGCAGGGGGTGTCCGGGCGATGGTGCCCATAGGGGATGGAGCTGCAGGTTTGGAGGGGACTGCGAGTAAGGAACAGCTCCCTTCCCAAGTAATTCCCCTGTCAGCCAGGCAGGATCAGGCCGGAGTCACCGCGTCCCTCAAGCACCGGGATTTGGTGGCGATGCTTTGCCTGGAAATGGGGCCGAGGAGGGGGTCAGCGGTGCTGGCAGAGCAGGGACCCCAGGAACACCCATCCGTGTGGTGTGGGGACACACCCGACCTGCTGGGAGCTGGAGTCTGCTCTGTTCCAATTACCAGCTTAATAGCTACACGGAGACCATTAAAAATGCATCAGTGCCTCCGAGGAAAGAACTTCAGGAGAAGTGGAAAATTCATCACTTTGAGCTCCCTTATTAGGAGAAAAGGTGTTTTTCCCCCCCCCCTATTTGTCTCAAACAGAGGCAAAAAGAGGTTATTCCTGCCTGGTGACTCCCCCGTGGGACTGTCACGAGGTGTGAACAGGCAGTGCCCAAACCTGGGTGAGAAGGACACAGCTCCTGCTGCTGAGAAGGGAAAACTCAGCACCTCCAGCACAGGCAGGGGCATGGGGACCATGGGTGCAAGCAGCTCAGTCATCCTCAGATGGAGAGCCAACAGCTCTCCCTGCCCTGTGCTGAGGACGCGTGTTGGGAGCATGGTGTGATAATGAGTGACCCAGGGACCCCAGGCAGGTGTGAAGGAGGGCTCTCCATTGCCAAAAACCCCAGACAGGTGTGAAGGAGGGCTCTTCATTGCCAAAAACCCCAGGCAGGTGTGAAGGAGGGCTCTTCATTGCCAAAAACCCCAGACAGGTGTGAAGGAGGGCTCTCCATTGCCAAAAACCCCAGGCAGGTGTGAAGGAGGGCTCTCCATTGCCAAAAACCCCAGACAGGTGTGAAGGAGGGCTCTCCATTGCCAAAAACCCCAGACAGGTGTGAAGGAGGACTCTTCATTGCCAAAACCCAGCCTTTTTAAGCACTTTAGACAGTTATCATGGTTTTAAGGCACAACAAGCCCAAGTCAACCAACCACCAGACACCACGAAGTGGACACAATGTGGACTTGTGGCAGTCACACAGCCACGTCTCTCTCATCTCTCACATCTCTCTCATCTCTGTACCCCTATTCCAGCTGAGTCACTTCCCCATAGCTCCCTTCTCCTTAGCCTAAGAACAGGCTGGAGCCATCTTACGAGGTCTTTCCTTTCTAAAGCCTTACAAGCAGTCCCTCTAAAAGGGCAGACCCCAAAGTGCTCCCCCAGTACAGTGCAGGTGTTTGTACTGGTCATACTGGCCCCTTGCAGGGGTGGTTCGTCAGGAACTGTAGCACAAGGAGTAATGGGTTAAAACTGAAAAGGGGAAAATAAAGGCTTTAAACACAAGAAATTCTTGGCTTTGAGGGTGGGGAGGCCCTGGCACAGGTTGCCCAGAGAAGCTGTGGCTACCCCATCCCTGGAAGTGTCCAAGGCCATGTGGGATGGGGCTTGGAGCAACCTGGGGTAGTGCAAGGTGTCCCTGCTCATGGCAGGGGGTTGGAACTGGGTGATCTTTAAGGTCCCTTCCAACCCAGGCCCTTCTGTGCTTCCATTCTGTGGTGGTTCTCCCCAGGAGCTCCTGAGCTGAAGCTCACGCTGTTCCTAAGAGCCGTGTGCAGAGGAGGGCTGGCTAATGGATTAGCAGGGGGTGTGATGATGCAGCCAGTTTTCTGGGGCGGAGGGTTATTTATTTTGCTTAATTTTTCTTTCTTTTTTTTTTCTTTTTTTTTTTTTTCAGGTGGTGGCTGAGCCCGTATCTAGGACAGGGGTGGCTTTTTTTGGTGCAGGTGGCCTGTGGGCACCTTGTCGCTCGATAGTGTAAATTAGCGAGTTCACCTAGGCCAGGGGTTTTTACCAGACGTGTTCAATCCTCCCCTAATAGCTGCCTCACCCAGAAACTTCCAAAGCTCTTGTAGCACCTAAGCACTAATGAGCTGAAGCTGCAGAATAGCAATGAGGCCTCAGGAATATGGATCAGCCTTTGCTGGCCCAGCCAGAGGCTCTAAAATCGTTTCAGCCAGCACCCAGAGGGACCAGTGCAGCCCAGCTGGGTGGGAAGGGTTTAAATGAGGTGCCTCGGGTGCAGAAGCTGCCCATGAGGAGCTGTTGGAGATGTCTCCCAACTCTCCTCTCCAAACAGAAGTGTAGGTGGCTTGTGTTGAGGTAAGGAGAGCTCAAACTCTGGTTAAACCACTGGTTTCTAGGTGCTTTGGTGCCCTGCCTTTTCCCCCTGACAATTGATCATCCCTGATTGATCTAAGTTTGTTTCTAAGTTTTGTTTTTACTGCTGGCTTGGACAAAGCATCTCCAAGCCCTTTCTGCCTGGTTTGCCCATTCAGCCCAGAGTGTATGTGTTTATGAAGTGAGTTGTGCCACCCATCCATGCCCAGCTGCTCCATCCCTTGGGAATTCTACATGACCAACACCAACAGGGTGCTGGAAAGCTGGGGAGATTTCTCATGACACACGCCAACAGAGTGCTGGAAAGCTGGAGGGATTTCTCATGACCAACACCAACGGGGTGCTGGAAAGCTGGAGGGATTTCTCATGACCAACACCAACGGGGTGCTGGAAAGCTGGAGGGATTTCTCATGACCAACACCAACAGGGTGCTGGAGAGCCAGGGTGATTTCTGCTGTAGCCCCAAACCAGGGTGAAAACTCCTTTCTTTCCCAACAACACCAACCTCCATGCAGCTTCCGTCTCAGCTTAAATCTCTATTGATTTTTCCGAGGCGGGAACGCTGCTGGGGGAGCGCGGGGGTGGGAGGAGAAGCCTCAGCAGCCAAAGCCTGGAAATATCAAAGCTCGACGGCAGTGCTCCGGGGTGACCGGGGGGGTCACCGGCCCCGCAGGGAGCCCCGGTTCCCGGTGGATTTCCCGGAGCTTTTCCAGCCCCGGAGCGGCGGCTGTGCCCCTCTCACGCTGAGTTAACCTTTGTGGAAATGCCAAGCGGAGCTGAACAGGCTGTGCCTCTCCAGAGCTGCAGGCACACAGGCAGGGGGCTGAGAGGAGCCTCGGTGGCTTTTGCACCTGATTTACATCTCGGGTGGAGCAGGAGGCACAAACCTTGATGAGCAAAGCTGCCACCTTGATATCAGCTGTGTTTTCCTCAGAGTCATTCCCCGCTCAGGGCCACTTGTTTCTCCTCGAGGGACACACTCCTGATTGAAGCTGGGATTTCATAAATAAACCCCAAGGTTTCCGACAAAAGCTCCAGCTCAGGCCCGAAGCTGCCACGAGTGGTGTGTGGCTGCTCTGAGCACCAGTGCTCCGCTCAGTTAATTAATTAGTGATTAATTAGCGTTTCCCAGGTCATGCCGACACTCTGCTCAGGCTCTGCAGAGCATCACTACTGGAGTGGGTGGATGGATGGATGGATAGATGGATGGATGGATGGATGGATGGACGGACGGACGGACGGACGGATGATCCCGAGCATCCCCAGGATGTGCCTGCGGATGGGGAGCCCTGGCTGCGGCAGGAGGTGCTCGGTCCCTGTGCTGCTGCCCCATTCCCGGCAGAGACAGCCCCAGGGATGATGCTCAGAGCTCGCAGTGGCTCTGTAAACACCCAGCAGCTGCCGGGTATCGATCCGGGCTGGCTCGGCTCTCTCCGGGCACGGCACGGACCCGGAGGAGCAGGTGGGCAGTGTTGTTGGTGGGATTTTGGGAGCCTGGGGTAAGGCAGGAGGGATGGGGAGGTGCTGGTGTGAAGGGTAGGGATGGCACTGGGATTTCTCAGGCAGTGAGAAATCTTCTCACCCCGCTGTTTTCCATAGGGGTTGTGGGTTTTTTTTTAAACTTACTCTGTGCCTCTTTTCAGAACCTCTCCAAACAGCCCAAAAGTGATCTGGGGGTTCTGCTGACTGCACCCCACCTCCCAAATCTTTCCTGGGCTCTGACCTGGCCCCTTTTGGCTCAAGGGGGCAGGACCTTCAGCTGTGAGGACCCTCCAGCCTCTCCCTCTCCTTTGAATAACTCAGAGTGAAATCCACAGGAATTTGGATTTGCTGCAGGCTGGAGCACCTGATTGCCCTGTGGGCACCTCAGCCAAGACTGGAAGGTTGTTTTTGGGGTGCAGAGCAGCCTCTGTGAGCTGCATTTGGGGGATGCTTCCCCTCGGGGAGGGGGGCAATGATGGGGGCTCTGCCCTCCCTGAACCCCAGCAGCAGCAGGACGTGTCCTTTGTCATCACCCTGCCCCACCCTGAGCTCCTTTAATTACAGCTCTGAGAGAGATCTTCCCCTTTATTCCCCCAAATCTTCTCCTTAATTAAAATCTTCGATCTGGGCCAGCGGGAAGCAGCTGTTGCCTCTTTGCAGCGTGCTGCAAGCTGCCAGCCCGAGTGTGGGCCAGGCAGGGACAGGGAGGGGACAGCACGGGGACATTGGCACTGCCATTGTCACTGTCCCACCTGCTGATGGCTGCTGGGAGCCTTGCCCTGCTGAAGTGAGGGCTGAAATCATCTGAACTGAGTGAGGATGAAGCATTGGGTCCCTCTGCACCTTCCCACCATGGAGCTCTTCCAATGAGGGTGAAAATGTCCAGAGTGCAACGAGCCCAAACCCATTTGGGGTTGCCAGCTCCTGATCTGGAGGAGGGCTGGATGATGCAGGTGGATGAAGGTGAAGGTGAGGCTGGGGCTGTTCCTTGAGTTGTGTCCCTGGGATCCACGATGTGCCTGGCCAGGGGAAGCTGTTTCTCACTCAGAGGAAGCCCATTGAACCCAAATCCATGGCTGGCACCTCTCAGGTGGGACACGCCTGTGTCACCACAGCCTGGGGACATTCCCTGCCATGGCCTCGCAGCCTCCTCGTGTTTTCTCCCAGGATTAGCCCAGGGAGGTGACTTCACCCTCCCTTCCTGCTCTGTTTCTCCCAGGATTAGCCCAGGGAGGGGATTTTACCCGGGCGTTTCTGCAGCTCTCCATCGTCACAGCAACGGGGAAGCGTCGGGAACAATTGGTGAGCTGGTGGTGTCAGCTTTATCTCGGCTGATGTGTCTCTCCTTAATGAAACTTGTGGAAGAGAAAAGCAGGGGAAAAAAGGGAAAAGGCTGCTGACAACAGATGTATTATTTCTATTTCACCTCAGATTTACTGGTGCGTGCATTTTTCATTCATGGAAGAGGCTGATATGCAGATTTATTCAGAGCAGAGCAGGTACAACCCTTTGTGGATCAATTCCTGCAGCAGGCTTAGGAGAAAAGGACTGAGCTGAGCAGATAGCCATGCAAGGCACTTCCCAAAGCCAGCCCCAAATTTTGTGCCCAAAATGGGCTAAAAGGCCAATAAGATTTTTTCTTATTTTTTCTTCTTTTTTTCTTTTTTCTTTTTTTCTTTTCTTTTTTCTTTTTTTTCTTTTTTCTTTTTTTTTTCTTTTCTTTTTTCTTTTTTTTTTTTGTTTTTCTGCAAATCCAGACACTTCAACCCAAATTCTGTTCCTGTTTTTGGCCAAGGGAAACTTCCACTCATAGCTACAGCTTGTGTTTCCCATGTACTTCAGCTAGGGCGGCCTGGGTTGACTTTGTTCTTCTTCCAGCTCTGCTTTACTGAGGGCTCAGTGCCCCAGGGTGGCTTCACCCTGTTTTGGAGAGGGTGAATTTATATTATGGACTGTGTATATATATATATATAAAATATATGATATTATATATATATATATATATATATATTTATAATATTAAAAATTGTATTATTTATATTGAGATGGCTTCTTCAGGAGACCCTTCTTTGTCCTGGCTCCTTGGTCACCAAAGTCATACCTTAAACACCTGAGCCAGGTGTCTCTTACTGGTAGCTAAAATTTGGCCTCCAGACGAGTCTGAAGCTCTTCTCCTTCCATACAGAGCACGTTGTGGTTTCTCTGTGGTTTGGGAGGCTCTGCTCCCCTGGGGCAGGACACCCTCTGGAAGCCAAGTAGAATTTAATCTCCCTGCAGTGATGAAAGTGAATCCAAGAGAAGTATTTGAGGTGTTTTTCCCCTCTCATTAGGAATGGAAGACAGGAGTCTTCTGTCTTCTGGGTACTATACAACCAGCATGAATTATTTAGGACCAAGCATCTCTCCGATAAATAATTTTTTTATGTGGGGAGATTAAATCTGAATTTTTTAAAAAATATAATAACAAAAGCAATTTCTCTCTCGTAAGTCCTCATATTTCACCCAGCAAAGAGATCCCAGGCATCCATTCCTGTATTGATCAGCAAATAGGTCCTTTTATAGATTTAGTTCACCCAACCTTGTTTAATTTTGGATTCATTGATTCAATGCAAAGATCTAGATGAAAAGCAAGTGGGCTGTTTCCAGTGCTGGTGATGCTATTTTTAAATAAATCTAGTGCATGCTAAAATAAATATGCAAAACATTTTGTAAGGCCGCGTACGGGTGGGGAGACCAGATGTACTAAAATATTTAACAAACTTTTCCCTGATTTCTCCAAATGCATGTTTTATTTACCAAACACCAGTGGAATTTAATCTCACCCAGTGTTTGCTCCGACCCATTGTCTGGGGTGAGCAGGAACGTGGGGCCTTGGAGGAGCTGTCTGTGCAGTGACATTGGTGGCACATTTAAATGCAAAGCTCATTAACCGTGTCTGGGATTTTTTGTTTGTTTCTCCCTTTTTTTTTATGTTCACATTCCTTACAAGAGCAAGAGATGAAATACCCATCTACAATTCCCTTTCATCTGCAGGCTGGGGTTTTTTTTTCCCCCCCTCCTCTCTTGCTCAGATGACAAAGTTTCTCATTTGGTATTTTATTTGATTTCAGGAGATGAGAAAGAATTAAAAGCGTCTTCAGGAGGTTGGGCTCACCTTACTCTCTCCAGGATCCTTCAGGAGGAGGATGAGTGACTTGGCAAAGGCTCCTGCCCCCAAAGGATGGGGTTCATCCCAGGGTCAGAGCTGCATCCTGGCTTTTCCTTCACCTGGGGTGACCATCCTGCAGATCCCAGCCTCCTTTCCTGGGGCATCCCATCCCACTCTGGGTCTTTGTGCCTGTCTCCTCCCAGCCCTCTGCTTTCAATCCAGCCTCATTTAATTGAATTGTGGTTTTGATCACATCTGACGGTGGCAGAGATCTTGCTGATAATCAGATTCCCATGGGAGAGGTGGAAATGGGGCTGGTGGAGGAGGGAGGGGAGACAGGGGCTGGTGTGATGCCACTTGGTCCCCATGTGCCACCAGGCAAGTGACACAGCAGCCAGGCTATGTCCACTCTGGGGTCAGTCACATTTTGCGGATGGGTAAATTAACTGAATGTCCCAGTGGGGGCTGAACCCTGCAGGTTGTGTTGGTTTTGGTTAAAAAAAGGCAATTTCTTGGCAAAACCTTCCACCTTGCTGCAGGCTGGGGCAAATGCAGCATCCCCCAGCACTCCTGGTACCCAGCCTGGCCTCACCTGCCCTGCCTGGACTCTGTGCAGGGATGTGCTCAGCTCTCTGCACATCTGCCACATGTGTGGTGGCAGGTGGCAACGATTAATTACAGAGATTCACATGTGATTTGCATGAATTCAGCTGGAAGTGCAGCCCCTGGGATGGGGGAATGTTCCTTGCAGAGCCTCCTGCTCCCGATGCCTTTCTGCCAGCCAGTGCTTCATGGGGTGTTTGTTGTGTGTGTGATTTTGGGGGTACCAAAGCAGGAGGGGCAGAGCAAGCAGCAGCCTCTCCTCCATCCCTTGGTCCTTGCCAGGGCTTGGGCATGGCAGGGAAGGCCTTGGATAATCTGAGACAGCAGGAATTTCCCCCCAAACTGGGATGGAAACAAAATCCTCCACCCTGACTCAACCTCTCTCCTGAGATGCTGGAGGGACAGGTGTGCCCCATTCCAGTGCCCCATTCCTGTGCCCCATTCCTGCTGACCCCAGGGCCCAGGGGAGGAGGAGATGAGGGTCCACAACCCAACCCCACCCCTGCAGTGCTGTGATGTGGGGCTGCTATTGCATGAGGCCACCTTGCTCTGGGTTTGCAGGCTCAGGACACAGGCTTGGTGCTCCTGCTCTGCCTGGGCTCTCCTTGGCCTGGCACAGCTCTGTTGCCCTTGGTTTGGGTGTTACAGCAGCTTTTCCTATTGAGCTGTGGCTAATTTACCTCCTTGCTGTCTGTGGTTTAATGCACCCAATCTCCTTGGACCAGAGGATCCCAGAACGGTTTGGGTTGGAAGGAACCTTCCAGATCATTCAGTTCCAACCCTGGGACAATTTCCACAGGACCACATTGCTCCAGACTGCATCCAGTCTGTCACTGGACACTTCCAGGGTGGAGAGAGAAGAGATCTAAGACAGAACTGCCAGAGGAGGATGCAGGGCTGTATTTGTGGGTGTACATCAGGAAAGAGAGACTCCTGCAAGGAGCCTGCAGTGTGCTGGCTTGGTCCAAGAGAGGTAGCAGCAAGCCAAGAGACTCAGATATCCTGGCCAGAAGGATGGGAGAACATTGCCAAGACAAGCAGGTGTCCAACAGAGCAGCTCAGGGCCTGGAGGAGACTGGGGGAGACTGAAAAGGAGCAATGAGGAAAAAAAAACCCTGAGGTGTAAGGTGACAGCTAGAAATAGAAGGGAGCAAGTGATATTTGTACCAGAGGTATCCTGGGGAAGGTATGAAGGAATCCAGCCCTGAGAGCCCCAGCTCCTCTGTTCAAACTTTTCCTCTCAAACCCAGCATAAACCATCTTAAAAGCTCAGCTCAGCTCACCATGAGAGAGGATGGAGCTGCCCATGGCAGCCAGGCACTTCCACTGGTCCACTGGCTTGGTTCTCACCTCCACTGGTTTGGTTCTGATCAATAATGAGCTAATTAGTTGCTATGGAGATGTAATGTGGGAGAACTTTGGGGAGGAGAAATTATAGGTAATTTTTATTTGTTTGGGCCCTGTTCCTATAGCAACAGGAGAACTTGTCACTGACTACCAGTTGGTTTCCATGGAGTTGGCTGCTAGTTCTGGGTTATTAATGCCTCCAAGCATAAAACAACTCACCTAGTAGGGCTGGTGGATTGTCCTCCATCATCCATGGGAACTTTGCAGTTTGCCAAGTCAGGGCCTGGCTCTCCCAAAAGTTGGGATGGAGTGTTCATCATCAACCAACAGTATGGAAGTGCTGGAAGGATCGATTGTTCTGCCCCTCTCTTGAATTGAAGACATCGTGGAATGAATAATCCATCACTTCATGGCTTGCTCCACTCGCAGCATTGCCTGATTTTTAATTGGGTTTTCTCCGTCTTCAGCTTCCAGATGCTTGGCGTTGATCTGCCTTTCTCTGCTAAATTAAAAAGTCTTTTAGCACCTGGCAGTTTTGCTGTAAAGGGACTCACTGTAATTAAGTCCCTTTCTCCTCTCCCCAGCCCTGGTTCTCCTGAATGGAGCCGTTTGTTTTCCCGCAGCCCCTCACCTGATGCGTTCCCGTTACCGCGCTCCTCCGAACAAAGGGGATGTGGTGTCTGCCTTGCAGAGGGCTGCAGCTCTGTCGAGGGACCTCTCAAACTCCTCCAGAAGCCTTGGAACCAGACCAAACACTCCTGAGCGCTGAAGAGACTGGATTTGGGAGAGATTGGTTTTATGATAGGTTGTAATTTCCCTCCCACCAGCTAATTCCTCAGCTTTCCACGGGTGATAATTACCCAGTAGGAGCTGAAATGTCTCTCCCCACTCCCCCCTTATCAACCCATTCTCCACTTTGAAGGCATCACCACTTCTTCCCAGAGTGTCCTGGCCGATCTCTTGCAGCACCTGCTCATCCTCTGCTGTTTTGGAAGATGGTGCCACATCCACCACCTCTCCCCTTGGAGACCGCTCTGGCTCCAGCTCTGGAGGCAGATAAGTCCATCAGCGTGTGGATAAACCTTTAATGGTGTTTGGCTGAGCCCGCCAGGCAGTCGGAAGGGAGGCACGAAGCAAAGGGCAGCTCCTCACCAGCAGCCCTGCCTGGGATCTCTTGGCAAGCTCTGCTGCTGGCCCCAGCCCTGCATGCTGTGCTCGCAGCTGGTCCGGCCCCGCTGCTGAGGCACGGCCCAAATGTCTCCAAGGAGGCTGCAGATGGGGCTGGAGGATGAGGCTGAGGATGAAGGCTGGCTGTGGGGATGGGAGGAAAGTCCTGAGCTGTCCAGGTGGCGTCTGGCTGGCAAAGCCAAACCTTCAAGGTGAAAGAAAGGCTTCATCCAAGAGTTCCTGCATCTCCTTGGTGCCACTTGATTTGCAGATAAATTATCTGCAAATCTTCTTCTGTAAGAAATCCCCCTGCAAACTCTGTTTGTTCTTCTGTGACCGTGTTCACAGGGGTCCTAGGATGAGGGAAGAGACAAAGATCTGACTCTATGTTTCAGAAGGCTTGATTTATTATTTTATTATCTATATTACATTAAAACTATATTAAAGGAATAGAAGAAAATGTTCCATCAGAAGGCTGGCTAAGAATAGAATAGCAAAGAATGATAACAAAGGCTTGTGGCTCGGCTCTCTGTCCGAGCCAGCTGGGCTGTGATTGGCCATTAATTACAAACATTTAACATGGGCCAATCAAAGTTCTGCCTGTTGCATTCTACAGCAGCAGATAATCAATGTTTACATTTTGTTCTGGAAGCTTCTTAGGAGGAAAAAATCCTAAAGAAAGAATTTTTCATAAAAGATGTCTGCGACATTCTTCCACGTGTTTCTTTCCAAGAGTGGTGCCCATGGAGGGAGAGGCTTGGGAAGTTCTGTATTTATGCACCACCAATAAGCAGTGATGGCTTTAGCAGAGGCTGGCTGTTGGATGGAGATGTTAGCTGGGTGAAGGGGGCACATCCAACACACCAGAACCAGCTCTGGGTTGGGGATGCAGGAGATGGGGGCAGGAGGTGCCCAGGAGATGACATGCTAGGAATGCATCCCATTGTCCCTGCCTGTGGCAGGGCTGGGGTCTCTCTGCCCACATCAGTGTGGTTGGTGGCTGTAAATAACAGGGATGCTCTGGGTGGTCACCTCCAGCCTGGCTGTGACCCGTGACTCACCAGCTTCCTGTCCACAGCAACGCTATGGATTGACTCATGGCTATGGGAGTGTTTCACCCTGGGCCCACAGCCCTTTGATTTCACCAGACACCCTTGTGTGTTTACAAACCAGAGATCTCCATTTGATCAGGGCTGTGAAAACTGGTGACATCCTGCAAAGCCACTCAGCAGGTGATGCTTCATCCTGAGCTTCACCTGGCTCTCCTCCTCCCCCTCCCTCATGTGTGGCTGGAAAGAAATTCCTCCTGGCTTGCTTTCCTCTCAAATTTACCTCCTTGCTGTCTGCAGGGTGCAGCCCTGTGGTTTGATGCACCCAATCTCCTTGGGTCAGAGAATCTCAGAATGGTTTGGGTTGGAAGGGACCTTCAAGATCATTCAGTTCCAACCCTGGGACAACTTCCACTGGGCCACATTGCTCCAAACTGCATCCAGCCTGTCTTTGGACACTTCAGCTTTCCCAAGCTGGGCTTTGCTTCACCTGTGTTGTTGCAGTCCCTTGAAAAATCTGTGTTTTCCCACTTAATGTCAGTGGGAGCAGCCTGGAGCAGCCAGGGCTCTGCACCAGAGCAGGCATGGGGCCTCATGGAGGTGTGGGAAGGCAGATGATGTGGCCCTTTGGAAACAGCATCTGAAGAGGGGTCTGAGCATGGAAATTACCTGGGAGGGCGAGACCAGCCTTTGGAAAATGGCTCTGAGTCACAGAATCATGGAATGGTTTGGGCTGGAAGGACCTTGAGATCATCTAGTCCCAGTGCTCTTGTCATGGGCAGGGACTCTGTGTCCCTGGTGCCAGTGGAGCTGTGCTGCTCTGCTCTGAGCATCTGCCACCACCACAGCACAGCAGGGAAGGGGTGGCGAGTGCCATGTCACCAGGTGAGGCTGGTGCCAGCTGGGAGAGCCATCCTGGGGGCTGTGGTGGCTCCTGGCACGTCCATGTGGGGCTCCTCTCCTGCAGCAGGCTCTGAGGGACGTGGTGGAGCCTCCTTGGAGGGTGTGATGGGAAAGGCTGGCGTGGCTGTGGTGAGCACTGGGGATCCCGCCCAGCTCTGTGGTGGGAGGAGGACACAGGGATTGTTTGGATGACACACAAGCTCGTGCTTTTACTCTGAGTAACCTTCTCTGACAGAGAATGGAGCCTTCTGCCATGCCCTGTGCTCCAGAGGGTCCATGGCAGAGCCCTGGAGCAGGGCAGGCACACCCAGCCCCTGTCCATGAGAGTGTCCATGGCCATATCTGGCAGAAGAAGGTGGCCATGGAGGAGCTCCATGCTGAGACAAGCCTGGGTGGCTGCTCCTCGTCATCCAGCAGCTCTGCCATTACTCTAACAGGCGGGTTTGGGTTGTTCTCCACAAAGTAGGCAGGACCTGTTTGGGTACAATGCTGTTCCAACCTCCTGCTGCAGGTTTCTGCTGTCCCCAGTTTTTTGTTATGCCCTCAGACAGCTCTCCTGGGAGGTTCTCTAGTGCTGAGGTGTCCAGATCGGCTTATGGTGAAGCCTGGGGTCCTTCCCAACACTTTTCTCTGCTTCCCGACACCTCCAGGATTTGTCCACATCCTAAAGGCCAAGCAAACTTTAGAGGAATGAATTAACCACAGAATGGTTTGGGGACCCAAAGATCATCTCATTCTCACCCCCTGCCATGGGCAGAGGCAACTTCTACTGTCCCACGTTGCTCCAAATCCTGTCCAACCTGGCCTTTGACACATTCACAGTCCACCCATTTTCAGCCCTGTTGGTTTCAACCAGCCATAGCCTGGACTTGGAGCACGCTGTGAACCTGCAGATCCTGGTCCTGGAGCAGCTCAGGAATCATTAGGGAGAAGCATTTCTCCAAAAAAACCTCACGTGTGACCTCACAGCTTCAGTGTAAAATAAAACTGAGGAGCACAAAGCTGTATTAGAACACCAAACACCAGAGCTACACTGGGGCGAGCCCAGGCTGGGTTAGTCCTGGATGACAAAGCCATTTTGCCTTCAGGAATTGCCTTCAGCAGACCCCATCCTGCACAAAGGCCTTGCTGGCAGCCTCGTCTCCTCTCCCTCCTCACAGCTGTGGTCAAGAGGAGGTTGCATGTGCCAAGGGGTGGATCTGCAGCCTCCTGTCCCTCCCTGCCCTGCCTCCCTGGGAACATGTCTGTCCAGGTGAGCATGGCAAGGTGTTTCCTGTGGAGCCACTAACCAGTGGTTGAGCAAGCTTGAAGGGAGGTTCTCCTCCTTCCCCAGCCCTTTCCCTGCTCTGGGTCCATCCGTGGGGATCGTCCTCTCTGAGCTGCTGAGGCTCCTCAGCATCCCCATGGCAGGAATGGAGGTGTGGAGGTCTCTGGGCTCCAGCAGCAGAACAGGGCGGTGAGGGCTGGCTCCAAAGAGGTGAGACCTTCCTACACCAGTGCTGGGGAGGCAGGAGCAAGAGGAGAGATCCAGGAGCCATCTCAGGAGCTGAGTGTGAGTCTGGGATGGGATAGGATGGGACGGGACGGGATGGGACAGGATGAGATGGGATGGGATGGGACGGGACGGGACGGGATGGGATGGGATGGGATGGGATGGGATGGGTGACCCTATGCAGCTGCTCCAGCCTTGTTTCACGTCCCACTGAGGTCCAGAAGGCTCCTTGATTGCCAGGAAGGGTCATTGGGAGGTTCAAAACAGTGATCTACAGCAGTCCACCTCTGCTGGAAGTGTTCTAGAGGCTCAGGGGACAAACCAGCCATTTCTTGTAGGACCTGGGAGGGTTAGGAGGAAATCTGGGGGTTTTCTCCAGGTCTGGGCTCCTCATCTGCCCCAGCAGTGAAGGGAAGAGTGGATGGGGTGTTCTGGGGGTCATCTCGGTGCTTGAAGGGACTCAGGGTGGTTTCCTGGTCTAGCTGGGGTGCAGCAATGTGCTCCAGCCCCAAGCTGGGCTTTTCATTCCATCTGGGCAGCCAGGCCAGAGCTGGAGTCTGTTTTTGTACGAATTGTTTCTGCAGAGGGATTTCCTTGGTCTGTCCTTCCCCATCTCACCACAGCCTTTTCCATGGGTGTTCCTGGGGGCTGTTTCTGGGGTGTCTCTGACAGGACTCCCTGTTTGGACACTGACAGGGATTTTGTTCTCGGTGTGTGGACAGGTCATTCTGTGTCCCTGTACCCTGCAGGGCAGGCTGTCCTGGGGCTGGTGGCTCTCTGGGGATGCCACCCTCTGTGTCTGTGCCAGAGAGGCGCTCACAGCGTGCAGGGTTCATGGGTGCTGCCGTTGGGTGGGACCCAGGGCTGTGTTCCATCTCTAGGACACTGTGCTCCCTTCTCCCTTCTCCATCCTGTTTAAACTTCCCCCAGCCAATCAGCTCCTGCAGCAGAGCAAACATCATCTGGTAATTAATCTGCACAGATGGGCTTTGTTTGAGCAAGCTGGTGTGCACTGGCCTCAGAGGAGGGAGCAGCAGGGCCCTGGGGTGGGGGCACCTCACACACCCTGCTCCAGGCTCTGCCCATGTCCAGGGCATCCCTGGCATCACCAGATCCTTTGTCCAGTGCTTGG